GTTGCTCCAGCTTGCGGGCCGATCGCAGAGGCGAACGACCCCCCGACCTCCAGTCCCCCGGTCGTCCCGCAATGAACGCCTCCTCTCGTGGGCTGACGACTTGGGGCACGGTGACTACCGGGCCCGGAGCTGAGGCCACGGCAGCGTTGCAGACGACCCCCTGTTTACGTTGAAGGACCTCGTGCGCTTGTATGCTCGTAGCGACCCGTAAGGAAGAAATATCGGTCTCGTCGGCCGTGTTGATGGGGACCCCCAGGTCCTGCGCCAACTTGAGCAGTTGCTCCAAAACCATCGCATCTTGGCCCTCCTCGTCCATACGAGGGAACGCGGCGTCGGCGAGAGCCAGCAACGCCGTGCGATAGGCGAGCACGGTCTCCGTGTCCGCCTTCCGTCTTGCATAAAACTGATGGCGACACGCCGAGGGAGGACCATAGACCTTGGCCATGAGAGCCAGCGCATCCTTGAGCGTGGAGCGGTCCGACCTGCGTGCGGACGTGAAGGCCGCGAGCGCGTTGTCGTCCAGCATGGCAGGCAGTGCCCGCAGTGCCGTAGCGTCGGACCAGGCGGACATCTCCTGATGTGCCAAAAACCTGCGCTGAAATTGGCCCCAGTCCCCGCCTTCCGCCTTGAAGGCTGACGTGGGAAGGCGCTGTTGAAAGATGAAGTCGTCCTCCTCCTCGTGCTTCCTCTCCGCCGCCCCGTTGGTGTGTAAGATGGCGGCCCCAGTGGCGGGTGTTTGATGGCGGTCCGCAGCGCGCGTTGGTGACGTAAGCGGGCGCGCTTGGAGAACCGCTGCCACGTGGTGATGGCCGTTCCCGCCAAAAGTCGGCGCAGATGAAATGGCGGGAATCGCCAAGTCATTTTGGCGGGAATCTGCGGGGCGACCCTGTAGAACGTCCGCCGCCGTCCCCGCTCCTCCCGACGAGCTGATCTCCGCCAGGATGGACGCGGCGGCGAGCAGCAGCTCCGCCAGACGGGAGTGCGCCTCGCGGAGCACGGCGTCGGTCCCCCGTCGCTCGTCCGGCGCCATCGGCGGATCCTGCAGCGTGGGCAATTCCTCGTCCTCACCCCCCGATGCCAGCTGGCCCGAGTCGTCGAGGTTGTCCCCGCGGTCAATCCCGTGGGTCCGACGGGTCTTCCTTGTATCCATGCTTGGAAGACCGTTTCACTTCTGACGCCAGTTGAAGTATTTGAATTGACGGCAGGAACGTCTGCAGGAGCAACGGCAGCAGTGGGGCTGCCGAGCAGGAGACGGAGGAGACTCTGAGCGAGACGCCGTGCTGGCAAAGTTGTACGAACCACAATAAAGGACAACGGAGACAGACCCAGTGCAAGAGTCCTTTATTACATATGAAGTATTTGAATTGACGGCAGGAACTTCTTGACGGGTAACACACTTTTATTAAATCTTGACGTGTCACAATACAACGGGTGGTCTCTATCCTTTGGACTATACACTCCAGTTAACTCGTGTAGACTCTATGCTTCTGGCTACACACAATACACTTGACTCGTGTAGACTCTATGCCTCTGGCTACACACAACACACTTGACTCGTGTAGACCCTATGCCTCTGGCTACACACAATGCATTCGGCTCGTGTAGACTCTATGCCTATGGCTACACACAATACACTCGCCTCTGGGTTACACAGAGTCCCGGTCCCGTTAGGACAGCGGGACTAGGTACCGCAGGGCCCTATGTCTTCATCCCCGTCTTCATTCTTCGCTGGTTACATACTGCTCTTACGCCTGTGTGCATCCCCTTTTATAGCCCCTGCTCACGAGAGACGGAGCTGATGCGGACGTCGACGTGAGCATCGCTCCTTAGTGAACCAATCACGACGCACTCTCTCTACGATCCGTTTTCCCCAGCGCGTGTTAACACTACTCCACCAATCACACCGCGCTGCCACCCGGTCACTCTCTCTCAGCGCGTCACCGGCCCACAGCCAATCAGTACCCCGTAACCCACGACCCCGCACTGACCCCTGATCCTCCACCGTCAGCGCGCGTCACCACATACACAGCCAATCATTACGCGCTGGCATACGATCCCTAATCCCAGCGCGTATCACCACTACACATATACAAGGACTGTTTTCTTGGAATTTCTCTGACTTGATACAGCAATCGTGCTGTGACGGTTCCACCTGAAGACGGAAGCTTATGTTGCCTCCGAAACGTCGTTATTTTTATTTTACTTTTATTAATTTTAATTTTTTACTTACGTGACTTTACCGAAAAAACCTAAGAATATGCCTGCTGTATATTTGGAGTTTGCATGTCGCGAACCCTGTGGTCGCGTGGTTTTTTCTCCGGGTCCTCTGGTTTTTGCCCGCCAAATTTATAAACAACGTGCATTTAGAGTATTTGGCTGCTATACATTTCCACGTGATAAGCCACTTTGCTGAGCTATCAATTGTGATAGCCAGGTCACTTCTGAAAAAGAGCCACATAGCTCAGTGTGGGCCTTATCTGTTAACATTCTAACAAATATTTAGTTTAATAGTTTAGATTGGTTTAATAGGGTTTAAGCCTATGGGAACCTCATTTGCCAGTAAAAATATGATAATTGGTTTTTTCCCCTTCTATCTGGCAACAAAACTGACACCTTTTTTACAAGGAGTCATGTTTACATAGACCGCAATACCTGCAGTCATAATACAAACAAAAGAACATAACTCTGATAATGTGCACTGTCCTTGAAGTTGATTGGTCCACACCCGAGACAGCTTTCCTTAGAGCCTAGTCTCACATGGGTTGGACCAGATGACGCCAAAAGGCGCAGAACTCAAAGACAATGCGCCATCAGAGTATGATAGCTCGGTGCAAGCATCTACACTATGGGAACCTCATTTGCCAGTAAAAATATGATAATTAGTTTTTTACCCTTCTATCTGGCAACAAAACTGACACCTTTTTACAAGGAGTCATGTTTGCATAGACCGCAATACCTGCAGTCATAATACAAACAAAAGAACATAACTCTGAAAATGTGCACTGTCCTTGAAGTTGATTGGTCCACACGTGACGTTGTTTCTAAATGTGGAGGGAAAATCCAGAGGAACTGGAGAAAAATTCACGCGACCATGAGGAGAGAGACACGCAAACTCTAAATATACAGCAGGTGTCAGGGTCGGGATCGAACCCACGACGTCCTATATACCAGGAGAGGTTGTTAACATCTCATAGCAACCGTGACGCCAAACCACACGAACTCTCTTCTCTGTTGAAGCCCTCCCTCTGTTCGTGGCCAGCAGAAGACATCGACACTGAGAATCAGAACATTTATTTATACTGGAGGAATCAAATGAGCCTATCAAGCGCTTTTTAAATATATGTCTCGTACACTGATATCGTCATCATCATCTCGTTGCTGAGCTCATTGATGCTGCTTCTGCTGCTGCTGCCATCTAGTGCAACAGAGAAGCAGCAGCACACTCAACTTGTTGATGTCCAACTGAACACCGCAATGCGATGGTGTATCACTGGAACCCTGAAGTCGACCCCAACACCTTGACTGCCCGTGCTATCACCACGTCTTCCTTCCCCACCCATCCGCCGCAACGCTGCAACCCTCTGGGAAGTGCCCTGCGAATGGAGGATAACAGTCGCCTGCTTCCCATTCATCAGGACCTCAATAATGCCCTTCGTCGTCTCTTCAAGCCACGCAAGCCCCATTTTGGACCCGATGCGCTTAACCTTCAACGATGCAAGTTCAACCCCCCGATGAAGATTGGAGAGCTGAAGGGAGTTCAAAAAAAACTCACGATCATACCATCAAGGACTGGAGGGGTTTGGGGAATACGGAACAAAGAAGATGAAGCCGAAACAGAGACGGGCCCGGGCAATGCTCCCACGGTTATGAACAACCACCGCATGCAAGACCACGGAATTGCGGATGAAAATGACACCGTTGTTCCTTCGTGCCAGATGTTGATCATCGGTTGTTCGCTTGTTACGGTTGGAAGATCCGGCAGACCATTCAGTCATAACTCGTTTATTGCTGTCTTGAATTCCGTTCTGTATACACATGCACTTCACACCTACACACACAAAGTGGAAGGACTCTGGTTGAGTTCGAAAATGCTTGTTTATTAACCAACAAAAGAGTTGTTTCTCTCCCTACTCCCCTACGATCAGGGTTACCGCGAATCCCTTGGATATGCACAGCTCGTGTTAAGTTGAGGACTTTTTCTTCGGGGGGGGGGGGGGGTTATGGAGTGCTAATATTTACATGATCCGATAATACTTACATAATCCCAGGTTACAGTGTTAGAATGATGTCACGAGGGGAAGAAGAGAGAAAGCGAGGTGAGAGCGAGAGGGAACGCCCAAGGAGAGAGAAATGACGTTACCGGGTGAGGTGGGGCGATCGGGGCGCTTCATGGAGGAAATCGGAGTAAGGTGGACACGTGGGGCGTGAACTCACGCAAGAATAAATAAAAGTGTGGCCTCTTGGACTTCGTCTGGTGGACTCTTTACACATACATACACCGCACCTCCGATTAGCACGGTTGGCTGCGTACAGTGCAAAATAAGTTCAACATACATACACCACACCTCCGATTAGGGTGGTTGGCTACGTATGGTGCAAAAGAAGTTCAACATACATACACCGCACCTCCAATTAGCATAGTTGGCTATGTACAGTGCGAAATAAGATAAATATACATAGATACACTGCACCTCCGATAAGCACGGTTGGCTATGTATTGTGCGATATAAGTTAAACATTCATACACCGCACCTTTGAAAAAGCACAGTTGGCTATGTACGGAAGAAAAGAAGTTCAAAATACATACAAAAAGCAAGGGAATGCTAAATCACTGATAACGGAGTAGCTAGCGGTGGTCTTATCATGAGCCCCACAAAATACATTGATTAGGGGTAAGTTAATTATCACCACCTTGACACACACCCTTCTGTGTCCAGCCCTCGTGTCACGTGAGCATGGATTGGGGGCAGGTTGTGGGGTTTAAAAGTGAGGCGGCATCCCCCGTCCTTCCTGCACCCCACCTCCAATCCACTTCTCGTCGAGTGCCGAGGTGAGTGGCGGCGTTTGCAGCACATGCAGGGTGGCAACAGCAAAGCATTGTGGGTGGAGGGGACGATGGTGATGAAGGTGGTGATCGAGTTGGTGATGGTGGTGATCGATGATGGTTGGAGTGGTGATGATTGTTGTGATGGTGGCGGTATTGGTAATAGTAGTGGTGGTGATGGAGGTGGTAATGATGGCAGTGGTGATGATTGTGGTGCTGGTGGTGCAAGCAGTGGTGATAGTGGTGGTGACGATGGTGATGGAGGTAGTGATGATGGAGGTATTGATCTTCTTGTTTCTTTCGGTAAAGTCACGTAGAAGGGAAGTAATAAAATAATAAAAATAAAACATAATAAAACAATTCTCACGACGTTTCGGCTACAACGCAAGCAGCCGTCTTCAGGTGAAGAATGAGACACTACCAAACTAGGAGCTTATATATAAGCTGCATTGGGGGTTGAAGAGCGCCTTAACAAAAAGAATGTGCATGTGAAGAGGGATTTAGCATATTCATGGAAAATGCGTAGGCGTTGGGCGGGGGGGTGTCAAAGTCATATTATGCCCATGCATTATGCAGGATCAGCAGCAACCAAGGGGGGTGCAGGGATTAGCAGTAACAAAGGAAAGGAATGTTAATGATATGTAGCTGCAGTTACTCAACAACACGTAGAAAACTAAAGTATAAACTACATAAAAAACTAAAGTATAAACTGCATCGCACCATCAGTATACTTACTATACTCTATAATAAGCTGAGTTACTAACAGCAAGTAATACATTACAATTTTACCTCGTAAAAATTCTATAATATGCTTCCATCTAAACCTTATTCTCTTACATCACACGAGCATATACCGTACTATATACTGCCATAGATAAACCCAACATTAAATTATATACTGTATTGCTGTAAACCAACCTATATCTTATACATTTAATATCACACTATGTATTATTCTACACACCCTAATGTGTATCGAAATGGTTTATTACGTCCTTCCAATGATTGCTGAGCCAGAATCCATCTTCTCGGTTAAAGTTGTCTCTGTGTTTGTATATGTGGATCGCCTCATGAACGAATCTCTCATGATAGCCAGATGGCTTGCAGAGAACCTCTGTCTTGGAGAAGTCAATATCATGTGAGCCCACTGAGTTGTAACAGTGATCTGCCACGGCTGAGGTGTTAGTCCTACCGTGTTTCAGGTCAGCTTTATGTTCACGGATGCGGTCCGAGACATGTCGTTTGGTTTCCCCAATGTAACTGCTACCACAGAGGCAACTTAGTTTGTAGACGCCAGGGTACTGTATGTCTGGAACCACATCTTTTACAGACGGTACCAGATCACGGATTTTATGTACTGTGTTGAATCGGACCTGGATCTTGTGTTTAATCAGGATTTTGGAGATCTTTTTTGTGACCCCAGCAATGTAGGGTAAGGTGATGGTCTTGAAAGGCTCCTCAACAGGATCCTTCTTGATGGTTGGAGTGATGGCTTTGCGGATTGTATAGTCGGAGTAACCATTTGCCTTAAGAGCTTGGCGTACGTGTTTGAGTTCACTGGAAATGTGTTCATGGTCGGAGATGCATTGGGCTCTATGATATAGAGTCTTGATGAGGGAATTCTTCTGAGATGGATGGTGGTGGGAATCCGGTTTTAGATAAGCATCCGTGTGGGTGGCTTTCCTGTAGACAGAGTGGCTCATTGAACCATCAGGTCTCCTTTTGATTAGGACATCCAAAAAGGGTAGCATGCCATCATTTTCGACTTCCATGGTGAATCTGATGGCTGGGTGTATGGAATTGATGTGGTCGAGAAATTGGTCTAGAGCAGGCCGGCCATGTGGCCAGATGACAAAAGTGTCGTCTACGTACCTCTTCCATAAGGTCGGGCGTAGAGTGGCAGTCTGGATGGCGTCCGTCTCAAATTTCTCCATGAAGATGTTGGCTACAACCGGAGATAGGGGGGAGCCCATTGGGGTGCCCTCAATTTGCTTGTAGAAGGTTCCATTCCAGGTGAAGTATGTATTGGT